GTTGACAACACTAACCGTCACAATTATGATAATCCAATTCAATCTTGCTTCACAACTTCCTATTAAAATCAATGGAAGCCATAACTTCTCTACCTGGAAGGCACAATTCTCTATGGTCATAATGGCCACGACCTCTACGGTCATCTGAACTGAGTAGATCTACTCAGTTCAGATGACCGTAGAGGTCGTGGCCATTATGACCATAGAGAATTGTGCCTTCCAGGTAGAGAAGTTATGGCTTCCATTGATTTTAATAGGAAGTTGTGAAGCAAGATTGAATTGGATTATCATAATTGTGACGGTTAGTGTTGTCAACATTGATAACTGTAGTGTTGGATGCCATTTGTGGAGGGTGGGAGAGAAAAAAGAAGTTGTAATTCCATATATTGTGATAATTATTTTATTTTTTATCGCGATAAGTAATTATGAAAGCTTGAATTTATTTTAAGATTAAGGTTAATTTAGAATTAACAAGTAATTAATTACCTTTCCATCTTCAGTAACTGAAACTATATGTCTATGCATTGGATTTTCTGAATCTTTCCAACACAATATATCATCAGATTGATCAGTTCCCAATCTATGATAATATACTTGCTGGTGAAAATTTGCATTTGTCTCTCTTCCAGCATCCAAATTTTCGCCGTTTCTGAAAAGAATATCTCCACATTTTAGAATTAAATAAAGGTCGTTGCTCATGTATAAGCACGGATAATTGTCCCTTCCAGGCAACGAAGTTGTGACTTCCATTGAGTTTAATAGGAAGTTGTGAAACAGGATTGAACTGGAATATCGTGTAGTCGTGCCTGTAGTGTCGTTGACATCGATAACTGTAGTGTTGGAGGCAATTTGTGGACGGTGAGAGCGAAATCAAAGCTCTGCTGCCATAGAAATTAGTGCCACAAATATGTTGAATGAATTAGATGTAATTTTTATTGAAACAGAAGCAACATTTAAATACAACTCGAAGGGAAACAAAATTCCTAAGAGAACTCCTTTACTAAAGGAGAATTTAATTCAAATTAAAAAAAAAACCTTAAAGTAAGGAACAAATATACTGATAATTACAAATCCCACATTTTAAAGAGGTTTACCTGTTAGTAGATTTGGTTCATCTGCAATATTAGTCCATAAAACCATAAACTCATCTAAGTTTGGACTCATTATTGACCTGCTCATTTATTAGCCCACTCTAGAGAAATTTGGGCTAATATTTAGCCTAAATTTTGTCAAAACATTTTTAAAAAAGATATATTTTGTTAATTTGATAGGTTATATATAGCCATAAGTAAAAAAAAGTAATTCTATTAGGTAATTAAAACATTAAAAAAATAACAAATAAAACAATTAAAACTTAGGAAAAAATTGGGCGGGTTGAGTTTCGATCCGCTTTTTAGCCCATTTCAGTCCAACACAATTCAGCTAAGTAACTGTTAGACGAGTTTATAACTTATTCATTTATTAACTCAATTCATTTTGGCTTGCCCGAAATCAGCCCAATACGTCCATTTGACACTCCCTTTTGTCTAAACTAGATTATTTTTTTTATTTTTGCAGTATGTTCTGCTATACATTTTCAGGAACTGTGATACTGTGAACAAATTATACTACTGTGATTTATCTACACTGCCAAATGGCATTGAAGGTTGCAAAGGCAAGCGCGACGACGCTCTTCCCTTTAACAAGCTTGTCGATACATTTGATGCCTCGTATGATTATGTTGCACATAATGGCACTATTTTCACTTTTCAAACTAACAAGGATGCTCCAAAGTACAAATTAATCAGAGTAGACGTCGAAAATCCTGATTTTTGGTATGACATAATCGAAGAGGACGAAAAGGATGTGTTACAATCAGCTGTTGCAGTTAATGAAAATCAACTTGTTGTGAGTTATTTGAGAGATGTGAAAAATGTTCTGCAGTTGAGGGATTTGGACACAGGGGAGTTGCTGCATCATTTACCTATTGATATTGGCAGAGTATCGGGGATTTCAGCTCGTCGAAAAGATGATTCTGTTTTTATTGGATTCATGAACTTCTTGATCCCTGGATTGATATATGAGTGTAATCTCAAAGGTGAAGTTCCTGATCTTAAAGTATTTCGAGAAATCGTCGTGCCTGGATTTGATCGGACAGAGTTTCAAGTTAATCAGGTGAATGAATTTTCGCACTTTATAGACAATTTATGTGATTCTTACGAGTAGGAAAATTACCTTATACTTGATTATGTTGCCTGTGTATCTGGTAGAATCTAGTAACTTTAGCTCAAACCTGTATTTGTGTTAAAATAAATCATCTATTCCCTCCGTTTCAATTTGTCTGTCTGGTTTTTGACCTGACACGGAGTTTTGGAGTTTAAGAAAGTAAATGAGATTGTTAGAATCTTGTGGTCTTAAACTAAACGTTATGTAAAATGTACCAAAATGCCTGTTGTAATCTTAAACATGTCTTGAAATAGTGATTGCCTTATATGTTCTTGCATCCCTCTTTTTGTGTTGTTAAATCCAACTGATGTTACAACTCTGTAGTACAGTGGCGGAACCAGAAATTCTATCAAGTGAATTCCGAAATGCAAGAATGTTGAGAACTAAAACAGTTGTTTAAATCACCTTTGGCACCATAGTATAGAAACTTCCCCTGTGCCAACTGGATTCAACAATTTATATATACGGAAAAAAATTTATTTTTTGATCGATTCTTCTGATGAACGAGGCTTCATTTGCAGGTATTCGTGCCAAGTAAAGATGGTGTCAAGATACCTATGTTCATAGTGTCTAGAAAGGGTATTTCTCTTGATGGATGCAACCCTTGTTTATTATTCGGATACGGAGGATTCAATGTTAGTATTACACCACATTTTTCTGCTGCTCGTGTTGTGCTCGCGAAGCATTTAGGTGTTGTATTTTGCATAGCAAATATTCGTGGTGGCGGAGAATATGGAGAAGAGTGGTACAAAGGTGGTGCTCTTAACAAAAAACAAAATTGCTTTGATGACTTTATCTCTGCTGCTGAGTATCTTGTAAGTGCTGGTTATACACAGCCACATAAGTTGTGTATTGAAGGTGGAAGCAATGGTGGCCTTCTGGTTGGAGCCTGTGTAAATCAGGTATTTCAGATATTCGTTCAAAGGATTTAACTTATATACACCAATAGTCTTGTTTTACCTGTTGTGATAGGTAACATAGGACGTTTTGCAGGTTACGAGTTCATGTTTGCTATAAAAGTTACTTGTAGTTGTCTTTTAAGTGACCTAAAAGTGTAAAATATTAAAAATAGGTTGTCGGTGTATATTAGTTAAGCTCTTAGTTCAATATGTCTACTTTTGCTTTTGTTGCATTCTAGTTAGTGGCGGAGTCAAGATTTTTACCAAGGGGATTCAAAATCTTAAAAGTAGTAAACGCACTAAGGGTATGACCTAGTGGATTGAATACTATGGTGTCTCTTCAAATTCTAGTCGAGGCAAAAACACTAGGTGATCATAGAAACCCGACACCTGTGCTTGTATGAGGTAGCAGGTACCTCGTGAAATTAGTGGTACCCCAACCTCACAGTTATCGTACAAAGAAGCCTAGGAATCAACATATATAGTAGATATACATAATAAAAAACACCTATATACATAGTGTAATTTTCCGGTGAAGGAATGTCTTGGATAACTGTAGCTCCGCCCCTGATTCTAGTACTCATAATTCAATGTTAACTTCATAATTGCAGAGACCTGATCTCTTTGGCTGTGCTCTTGCTCATGTTGGTGTTATGGATATGCTTAGATTCCACAAATTCACTATAGGTAAGTTTTTTTTTATACATTTATATTTTGCTACTATTTTGGTTGTTGCTTCTGTATTGTTACAATTTATTTTCCATTTCTCATTAGGCCATGCATGGACCTCTGATTTTGGTTGTTCTGATAAGGAGGAAGAATTTCAGTGTCTAATTGAGTAAGTTCTTCAATTCAATTTTATTACACTATCCTCACTTAAAAGCTATGTTGCTCAGACTCTTCAAAAATGTTGTCAGTTGTGCATTTTTGGAGGGTCCGACATGTGCAACAACATTGAAGTCACTCATCTAATTTTCTCTTCAGGTATTCACCACTGCATAATGTGAGTAGGCCATGGGAAAAATCTGCCAATGTAGCATTTGTTCAATATCCTTCCATCATGCTATTAACTGCAGATCATGATGATAGGGTGGTTCCATTGCACTCATTAAAACTATTGGCTGTAAGTTACTAGTAAGTCAATTCATGTTGAACAATAATTTTATATTGTCAGTGCATATAACTTAACTACATCGCGACATGTTCTGCAGACCATGCAATACATCCTGTGCACGAGCCAGGAGGGAAGTCGGCAGACCAACCCTATCGTTGGTAGGATCGAACGTAAGGCTGGTCATGGATGTGGACGTCCAACACAAAAACTTGTAAGCTTCTTACCAATAACCATTTCTTTTACAACCTCGAGGGCTCGGGTTGATAGTAGCCGTGGTAGCAATGCCCCAGTGAGCTCAACTAATGACCCGAGGTGCCGATTGGGAAAGTCAGATTATTGATACTTTACTAACATGTTGCAGATTGATGAAGCTGCAGACAGATATGCATTCATGGCTAAAGAGTTGGGTGCTGCTTGGGTTGAGTAAAATTATGTTTGTACAAAGCTAGAATAAGGAAAATAGTGAAACACAAATAAGGTGGTCAGATTTTGATGTCCTCACAGTTAGTGCTTCATCACCCAATAAAAGGAATCTGCTTACAAAAGCAGAGTTCTCAGAAATAACTACGCTTCAGTTCCAAACAAAGGTCGTCTATTTGGCTCGAGGATGCATGGAATAGAATTTTAACAAGATGAACAACCTCTCATATAGGATAACCATTGATGATGCGTTCCAGAATAATGATGTGTACATAAATATTCCTGTGAAAGGGAAATTGGTATATTTGGGTATTACCTTTTCCTCTTTTGTTGACAAAGAATGGTTAAATAATACTCCAACGTTACAAAAAGAATGACATAATTTCTATATTTAAAACAATTAACTTTACACGTTTCGTTTTACCCTTAACGAGAAGCGTGCAGAGCCATACAAATGTTATGGCATCAAAATTACGTATTATGATCAACTGATTTTGCAGATGCTTCATAATACATATTAAATAGTAGAAAATCTGATCTTATGATGCATACAAATGTTGCACCAAAAGAGGGATGTAAAACTAATGTTCAAATGCAAATTCCTGGATCCAAGAATATTATAGTTCTTTCATTCTTCCTGAAAGCAATCCATTTTCACATCCGTAACATCGAGTTGCAGTATCTCTGTTCTGCAACCAAGAATTGAACCGATACTGCAGCACACAAGAAGGTTTGTAAATTTAAGGTTGAAGAATTGATAAGTAGACCAACAGGGCAATATAATTTAATACAATTCTTATTGTTGACACCAACCGGCAGGCTCCTCATTCAATCCGTACATAATTCATAAATAGCTAAAGACCATAAATGCAAAAGGTTCTCGAGTTAGCCTTGCAGCGATTAATCCCACAACCCTGTAACTGTTTACGACACTAGATGATGCACAAAATGTAGAATATTATTGCGAAATGGTGAACTATTCCAGCTTCTACGGAGCTGCCGTGGTCAATGTATGCTGCTACTGTCAAACAGGCGTGGTTACTTCATCATTGAGTAGTGGAAGGATATAATTTCTTCAATGGTTTAGCTCAATTTTACAGGAACTTATCCCCTCCCAAAGGGCAGAGGGTCAGTTTCCTATGTAGTGACCGCACCTTTTTGGGGGATAAGTGTGTGTAGTCAAAAATTTATTGAGTTTGAAACTATCTAAAATATTATTGAGTTCGACCGTACTATCAATGCAGAAAAAGCGCCTAATACTTGCTAAATGAGGACCATAGTACCAACTTTTTTTGCCAAAGAAAATTAATTACTATTATTCCTACTCCAGTTTAACCTATAAAACCATGAATCAAATGCAAAACACAAGCATAAATCTGCCATTTGGTCTCCCTGGTAATTTCCTCACTATAATTTCAGCAGATCATAGTCCTCTCTATGGTCGCACTACGGCCCCTCAGAGTACAACATTTCTGGGGAATCTCTGTTTAAGAAGTATTATTGGGGAAGCATTCAATGATGATAATAAAGTAATACAGCTAATAGAAACCATGTAATGATAAAGAGAGGAGCCCAATGCTAAACTAAATAGATAAGACGATACATAACCACTTTATACCTGGGTTGAGTGCGACCAAAATCCCCATGAACAAATTCCTTGATATATGTCCCAGCCTGTAAAAGACAGCTGCCACTGCATTATGCTCTTTCACAACAATTTTAAAAGAACTCTTTAGCCCTTAGACAAAATCATGCATTACAGAAAAAGACACTGTAAAAAGATTCACACAATGGGTTAAGGACCGTCAAGCCTTAAAACAACCTACATTTGACGGTCAAAGATGACAAAATAAGTACATACAGAGGCAGTGACAATTCCCCTCTTTCTATGACATCTTGTTTTTTTTAAACTGGTAAAGTTATATTCCTCGGCATTAAGGACATGTTGGAGACCTCCAAAAAATTGTTAAGAACAGCCTAGACTACTTACAAAGAACCTCAAAGATCTACTAACAGATATCTTGACACACTATTAGGCATTATCTTTCCAATATCAAAAGAAAAACAGTTTGACAACTAAAAAGAAATATGAGATTGTTTTCTACATTAATTCTCTTTCCCAAGAAAACATAATTAGAGAAAAGAAAGTAATGTCAACAGTAGATGGTAACCTGGGTACACAAATGCAGTAGAAAATACTGTGAGCTTCCAGATACCCTCTCCGCTTGCATCCTGTCACAAGAAATAACACTAGTCATGATTGATATAGAAGTAAACCTAGAGTTGTTAGTCTGCTGCTAGATATTGTTCATACCAATGTATAATTTTCTCTCTCTCCAATGGACTTCGGCGATGAAGAACCCTTATAGGCGTTTTTTGAGCAACTTTCTGAAGCCCAGAGAAACAAAAAAGGGGAGAGAAAATGAAACATATTATAAGATAAGATGGTGATGGATCAGCCCTTAACAAAATATCAAATTACAGTATTACACACACAACTACATTTGATGCTAGACCCATGTTTAGTAGTAGTTTAACACTCATAATTGAAAGGAGGGGATATGATCTATGAACAATCATGCCAGGCGCTCCAACAATTAATAAAAGCTAGTGCTCTATGAAAATATAAAATGTGTTCTTTTCAAAGCAAAAAGAATGTTGTTTCGTTTCCAATTATGATATGCTAAAGGTAACTTGGTCTTAGTTGTTTATTTCAATATATTTCTGATACTTTCTTTTAGGGTGTGTTTGGTACAGAGGAAAAAAAAAATTCAGAACATGTTTTCTAATTTTCTAATGTTCAGTCTGTCAAAATTTTTGGAAAACATTTTCTCTAGAAAATAACTTCCCTAATGAAAGTAAGGAAAACAAGTTCCACAAGTAGCATTCCACATTAATTGTGGCCTCCAACACACCTCATCTTTACCCCCATCCCAAACCATCCCACACCCCCATCTCCCGTAGTATTTGTCTAGATTATATACAAATGTTTTTTAGGATAATATTTTTTGCTTATGTACCGAACACAAAAAAAGAGTACGAAACCCATTTATTTTCCCAGGAAACATTTTTCATGTAAAACATTTTCCATCCTACCAGACACGCCTTTAATATATGTAAGAATATATTTGTGATATGTTTATCGCAGATTTCACAAACGATTAAGAATTCTTCAAACTCTTTCCAGCAAATGCAAAGAGAACCACTCACCAATTCCTTTAGTGATGATATAGTTTGCAAATCTTCATCACTGACAGGACGAGAAATCCACACCAATGCAGCGTACTGCTTCTGTATTGGATGGAAAGGAACTTCTTATGAAAAAATAGATGGGAAATAAAAAAAATTTAAACAGAGATCTGCTGGTAAATAAGCTAGTACTAGCTTAAGTAGCCAGAGGTTTACCTGCTTCTCTGCCTCTCCTTCACGCATGAGGTCCCACCCTTGAATGCCTACAGCTCTGAGATTTTTAACCCGGACCTGATGCAAAATATGTAAAGACTGTTGCATATATATTGGGAAAATGATGTGGTGCAGTGTGCTCCACACTCATTTAAGTAATCAAAGTCAGCTTAGAAGTATTAACCAACTCACGTAATGACTTTCTAGACTATTAATTTTCCTCTCTATTTCTTTTATGAGCGCTTCAGAAGGGACTTGGCGTGCATTTTGTATCTCTACCAGAAATGGACGGCCTGTACCCAGCATCCGAACCTGAGAAAGGTAGTGTTGAGACAAGAGGATCAATAATCATCCACTACTTATGGGTTTGTCAGAAACCAGATCTTTCTTACATCAATGTCCTCCCTACCGGCAGCATGAAACTTATAATTGTCACCCTGGAAGATAGGAAGGATGGCCCCACCTATTATTTCCTAAGAGAACATTCAAAGAGGGGTTAACAATTATAATCCCAGTAACTACCGACAATAGAAATTACTACAATGAAGAATAGGACAATACCTCAACGGATGCTTCTCCCATTCGTTCATCATCAATAACCCAGCGTGTCTGGCTCACATTTCTTGAATACTGAAGTAAAGGCACATTCTCAGTTGGTCAATACTCCATCAGAGCAACTTTTTAAATGGACTATGGAACTAAGAAGGGTTGATCAAACATAAAGTTTGATGATAATGAGCAAGAAGCGGAATTCACAAATATAGAAATAACCCTTCACAGAAACAGACATGAGATTAGTACATGGGATTGCTTGCTTCACATGTCCTATAACAGTGGGGAGCCCAAGAATGAGCTTAGCTGACTAATTATAACCTATATCTCCAATGGTAATTTAATAAGTTATATTTGAAGAATAAGCCACCTTCCACAATTTCAAAATTGTTAAGAGATGTATAATGCCCTACATCAGATATATAATGGTATTCAAAGGGATAATAAATGTTCCTAATCACTTCACTTATCCTAGGTTTTGGGTTGGATGATTACATTCTTTTACATATTATCATAGCCACCCGATTTGCAGGGGTTTCCAAAAGTCGTGAGTTACTCCACTCAATGTCTTAAGGTGTCGGGTGCATATGCAAGCTATTGGTTTACAATGTTTAGCCTACAAAAATGTCAAATTGTAGTTAATAGTCAAATGACAGTGCGTTTCACTGGCAATTAAGATTTTCTCAAGCAACAATCTCCAATCTACATGCATTCTATGAAATTCCTTCACATAGGATGATTTAACTTCTCCACAACATTTTGCATCCTTCTCCTTCTAGTCTTGTTGCTCCTCTTTGAAGTACAGAAAGCAGCATAAATACTGGCGATAATGTTTTGGAGTCAAAAAACTAAATCGGATGCAAAGCTCAAAATTCAATGATGACAAACAGCCAGTGGTGCTTATTCATGGGGTTTAGCAGAGAAATATATTTACAACAAAGCTTTTCAGGCTGAATTGCTATACCTTAAGATATCTCCCTCCAATATATGTAGAGCTTCTACAGCAATGAATGGTCAGACAACAAGGCTTACCGACCTGAAAAAAATCTCACTATATATGATAGAAAAATATGCACATTGAATATACTTCAAATCGAGTGAATAGTTACACTGCTTAGACAGGAGTTCTGTCATATGAAGTGCAGAAAAATAAATGAAAGTCCTCAATACCTTATCTAACTGAGCCATTAAGTTATTACAACTGAGATCTTGGGACTCCTTGGGACAAACTTTAGTCAGTCCATCTCCATCAACAATATGATTATCAGAAGACTCAACATGGGGAGTAACAGATTCCCCAGTTGTCTTGAGGTCACCAGTGAAACCTGCTTTGTCTGTCAACGATCAGTTAATACTTTCTATTGCACCCAAATAAACTATGGGATGACAACCCAGCAACATTTTATCCAGCAGATATTATGGAGCACAGAATGGAACTTTGTTAGCACGGGTAATCAGAAAATGAAGAGTACTGAGAGAATACTTGTTCCACTTTAGCTATTAGATCCAATAATCAAATGCAGGAGCATAGAAGTCACAATTCATGGATCTCTATTTTCCTTTTGTTTTAAAACTACTTCCTTTGAACACTGATGCTAGAGTCTTCTCTAGACAGCATATGAATGAAAAATATGAGTATGAAAGGATGAATTTGCTGGAGGTACTAAATATAGGCAAGGGAAAGAACTGGAAAAACCTAAAGCAGAAGACTTTTTGACATAAGCTTCGTAGAGTAAACAGTCAAAACATCAGAAGTATCATCTGTTTACATCATCCTAGCATATGATTACACTAAATATAGTTCAAAACAAGAGAAAAATGAATAATGCATGCTTATCTATGCCTACCTGCCCACAAGACAACTATCACCACTGATAGTGTCTCAAGGGTTGAGACACAGTAATGAGAAGACAACAGGTAAGGCACCAAGTATTAGAAACTTAAAATCTCAAATGGAAAAAAAAAGCATTTTGACAAGATAGCATGCCTGTTTTCCTCCTCTTATTTCCTCCATTCCCATCCTGAACGTCATCTCTTGTTAATGCATCAGAATGTGAGTATGTTAAGCGAACGCGAAAAGAACTTTGAGAAGATTTTACACCCTGCAAACGTGAACAACCCATTACATTTATATCCTCTATTTTACAGGTTTATATATTGAGCAACCAGCAAAACGCATTTCAGTTGGAACGTTTGTCCCCAATTGACTTTCTCAATTTCAATGTATCTTATACCATATATATTCGCACCAAAATGAAAAATAACAATTATTACCAACATAATTCTAATCCCGTAAAGTTTCAAATATTGATAATACTGAAGAGGAGCAAAAGAGATCAGAAAAGAAGATTTCATTACCAACAATCTTTGTAATGGATTTATCACTAATAGTTTCAAGATGTCTTTTGTAGAAATGAATTGACATTCAGCCTTCTCTTGGAACCAAAGTTCATGGCGGAACTTATTTTTCATATACAACCTGAAAACAAAATGTATTGGAAGGTAATTCAAATAAGATAGGCATATATATATATATGGAAGTTAATGGTGGAAACCAACAAAATCCAAGTATTAGTTTCAGATCAATGAAAGAAAATAATATGCAGTCATATCTCTTAGCATAAACATTTTGGAGAGGCATCTGACCCTCCTATCCAACGTGAATGAAATTGATAAAGAAATTCATGAGACTCTAAAATCTTACCAAACTGCTTGATCATTTTCTGTTACAGACGAAGGTAATGAGACTTCAAGAGAAAAACTATCAATTTGTTGATATTGTTGCTTTACAAGTTCAGAAATTACTACAGCAAAGTCATCGGCACTATACTTTTTTAATAAAGTTCCAGTATCATCATAATAGAGAAATTGCAAAATGCCTAAGCAAATTTTGCAAAAGTTTGTCTCCCTTGATCGTTCTTGATGTGATTGCTCATTAAATTCTCCATCTTTCTTTCTCATTACATCTTCTAAAATATCACACCACTTTGATATTGAGAGTGAAGGATGTGAACACATGAGTTCGTGAAGTCCAAATAGTCGAAAAATGCATCGAACGCATGCCTAAAATAAAATAAACAAACAAACCAAAAGAAATTTTTGAGTTGCTACATTAAGAATTAATAGAAAACATCTTCTACTCATTGACTAGACAAATTAATTACAGATGGATGACCGACCATAGTCAATAACCAAATTACCTTCACCAATTATTCACTTCTTTCTTTAGAGGAAGAAAGTTTCGCATATTGCAACAAGCCACTTGACATGGCTTTGAAATTACAAAAAATGGACTTAATTCACCAGAAACCTACTTTTACAAAATACTCTTACTAAAGCAAAGATGTAGTTTTGGTCCACCAATACATTAATGTTCAAAAAATTCAGTCATTTTAGTCTTTTTGCAAACAAAACAATAAATTCAATCATTTAGTTTTCCACCCGTAATGTTCTTGCAAACATCTCTACCAACCACAAGTTAGGACCTCCCAAGACGTATGCACCCTGGAATGCAAGAGGTTAGTGCATGTGTTGGCGGCAGGTTGGATTGCAGTGGATGGGGGGAGCAGGAGGGTAAAATAGCTTATAAAAGTTGTCCTCAAAAGCTTTTTATAATCATATAGGTGAAAGTATAGAATTCAATGCTCCTCTCATCATTTCCAGAAAGTGCAATGTTCAACTATGTCAACCCACCTTGAAGCTAAGATATCCCGTGAATAAATAAAAGGAGAGGGATGATGTGGAATTTATCAAAATACATATGCTTTTTTTTCCCGATAATGGTAACTGTATCAAAAGACATGCTTAAACCCTCCTGCTACAACAAAGAGGGAATCAGTAGTAAGAGCTCCTTATCTCCCAATTCAAATAATGTACTTACTCAAATAGCTCTTTTTCTGTGAATTGAAGCTGAAAGTTGCTATGTCATATAGCATGATCAACCAATACTTGAAGTAACACATGGATACAACTTCTAGAACCTCAGTACATTTCATACCCAACCTACTCTACGAAAATGAAGATTCGCTGAGAAACTTCGCATCCCAATTTCTTTACTAGTGATTCAGCTTTCTATCGTATATGATCTAATTAAATCTCGAAGAAGCTTGTAGAACGAATTCTAGCTCGAATTAACTCTAAAGCTAACACTTTCAAGACATTTTCTTTCTCTTCTCCAAACAATCCATAGTTTCAAAGAACGACACTAATGTACTAATAAAGGAATATCTATGTGATACTACAAGAAATTTGAAGTTTTTATTTCATAGAATTAAACTAAACATTCAAAAACAAAACTACCAAGTTAGATTTATAACAAAATATAACTCAAAAACATACAATAGAAAGTTCAACTCTTCTCTAAGAAACAAAATTAATCGCTTTATAAAATATCAATAAAGAACAAACGCACCCCAATGGACCATAAATCTTTGACGGCGTTCACTGGCAGCGCATGGACGGCTTCGCGGAGAAGACGTAGCTTCTCCTCCTCCGCCGCAGCTTCAGCCGAACTCAAGTGCTTGACGCCGGTAACCTCCGCCGCCGCAACTTCACCCGCCATCAGGTAAATTAGGCGACTGGCGGCACTACTTTGAACTAAAATAAATTGCACTTTCTCCCTTTTCTTTTTTAAAATAACTTCCTGTTTTTTTTGTTTGTTTTTTCTGAGTAATGCTTTAAATTTTGATTTTCCAAAAAAATAAGTAAATTGTATTTTGACATACTTTAATCTTTTGATTTGATTTAAATTTAGAGTAAATTTCACTTACTCCTCCAAACCTTTAATACTAATTGGGAAATACTTCCTCCGTTTTAGTTCTTTTTTATTTGTCACAATTTTTATTTTGACTTTTTGCAGTGAAAACGATTTGAACATTGATCAATATTTTAAAATATATTTTTCAGTATATTGATATAAAAAAAATTGTAATTTATAGTACTTTTCATTTAGTTTTTAAATATATAAAATTTAATTTTAAAATATCACATTTTAGTTTTCATCATAATGTCATTGGCCAACTAAAAGTTGAACCTAAATTCAACTTGCAATAGTTGTAACGTCATAATAAAAGCTCATAAGCCTAAATGCTCATCAAATTTGCGACCAATATGGTTGAGTTTCAACAACGCTTAACTTGTCAATTTTGAAATGCATTTACTATGAACATTGATTAGCTTGTAAGTTGTGACCTACAGAAAGACTTATTGAAACTATTTGAATATACCAAATAAAAAGTGAAGAGAATAGGTTAATCGAGTGAATCGGGTCGATAATATCACCAAAGGTTATGATGAAAGGGAAATAGAATCGTCTTTGCAAATGTAACTTTTCAACGCGAATCAAAATTAGTCAGAGTATTAAAGGCCCAAAAAGAATGTAAAAAACATGGAATCTGGCAATGTGCATGCGATAATTAAAAATGCACTTCATTTATCATAATTTAAGGTAACTACAACAATGAGGAAAGAACCAAATATAATGTTTTCGTGGAATTGAAGAAAGAATGCGACCTTGAGCTAAGGTCATTTTAGCAGCTAGTAGTAATAGTAGTAATAAGGCATTACTTCTAAACTCAAATAATACAAAGGATTGTATAAAATTAAATTATCCTCTACTAGAATTGCAGAATTTGCTTAAAGTGGTCGTGTGTGCCGGTCAGCCACCTTGCCACAAAGACGAGCGCCTCTTGGAATTGGATATTCGTCTCTCAATGAGGTTGAGTCTGTGTAAACTCTCACGTATAGTTGTTGTCCGAGGTACTGTCGTGCCCAGAATTCAGTCCTTAGGTTCCACATTCCTACATTGTCCAATGCAATGTATATCGCGGTCCATGACTTGGGATACACCTACATTTTAACATTTTATCGCGTTAGTTTACCTTCTAAATAGACTTCAAATACTGTTTTTCCTCTTTTTTGTTCTTACCTGAGCTGTGCAACGTGAAACCGCATCACGAAGGTTGTATCCATCCCTACTAGCTTGAGTCCACTGGCCTCCATCCATCCTGCATTTAACAGTGGAAAAAATCAATATCAAGAATGAAATAAGGTGCATGTATTAGAAAATCTCCAGGCAATAGTACTGAATTTTGTTCTAACATACCCTACAACCCAAAAAGAGTAGCCATCAAGATGCCAGCTCTGAACGATGTCCTCATTGTTCTCGAATATAATCTCAACGAATTGCCTGTAATCAACACCTAGAACAGACGTGTCTTGGTAAATTCCTCCACCGGTTGGGGAATCCTGTATGCTTCCAACTCTGAATCCACCAATCTTGAAGTAGTCGAGTAGCTTTAGAGGAGTATCAAGTGGCACAAACGACACGCTGTTGACAGCATATCTCTGTTTGCCATTCACTTGACCAGCAGAGCTAGCAAGTCTGATGGTTTTAGTTGTGTTGATCATACCATAATGGTATGAACCTTGTGGGTTTGGCCTTGGTCCACTTGCTGACAAGTTTGTCCTATAATACACAATCAATGTTTATCAGCTACTTTTTAATCAGTTAAACTTAACGCGTTCCACATATGAGCTAATTAAAAGATGGACATACCTGATGGAGCGGGCCTGATTAAGGGACCAGTCGATTTGGATGGTAGGTCCACCAGGAGGAGGACCAGAGACGGGGGTGTTAGAGCTGCTATAGTGAAGTACAGCAGTGGTGGTGAGGACTGGAGTCGTGAAACGAGATGAAACAACAATGTAGTGGTCTTTTGCTTCTTGATTAGCTGTAATGAGGACAGAGTAGGACTGCCCAACATGAACATCAAGTGAGGAATAAGTTGTTTGCAATGTGTGTGTTCCCTCTACTTCAACTAATGTCATTTTGTGTCCTTCAACGCGGAAATTCAACGAATTTTGCAATCCAACGTTTGATATCCTCAATCTATAAGTTTTCCCTATTACAAGAAAAAAAACTCACAGTTAGATTTTCAGAAACGTCATGACATTAGGCTACGAAATGTCCTTAATACATCGATTAATCGTTCTTTTTACCTTGATCGACTGTGAATGTAACACCATTAGGACCGCGGCCGTTGATAAGAATGCCATCAGGGAAAGGTAACTTCCTGCCTCCGTCAAGAATTGTTTTCAAGTCCTGTATACAATGAAATTCGAATAACAAATAAATTTGAGTTTCTATCACTAAACTTTGGCTAAAATTTATTCCATTTAACTCTTTAACTCAAACTTATAAATCCACATTTTCTTTTCAAAACAATAATCATAGCCCTTCAGTGACAAATCTAGAAATCACATGACTCTGCTCAAAGAAAGTTTTTTGTTATTGATGACCATGGTTGTCCGGGTCCGGCCAGTTTTCACACATCTTGACTAATTCCACAGGATATCTACCACTTTTTTTTAAAAAATGTGCACTTTACAGTTGTTGTCTACTAATGGGCCCATATTTGGGTCAAGGACAAACCCAACAAACAATGGCCCATGACAAAAAGCACACTAAATTCCAAAAAAAAACTGGCCACTTTACCTTACCGACACTCTTAAGACATTAGTGATTAGACAACCATAAGGTACATGCAAGTGTCCCTCATCGTTCGAATTTAACTTTTATATACTGATAGCATGATAGCGTAAAAAAATCAATTACCGTGTGGTTCTTTTTGTACCAATCTCCAATGAGAATCGTGTAATCGTTTGCAGGGTCCGGGAAAGGGACGGGGATTCTAGGTCTGCTGAGAATCCTAATCCCTCCAAAACCACCAGCAGCTTTGTGGAATGCAAGAGATGGGAAGTAATAGAAACTCCCAATTTGATCCTTCACTTGTAGATTGAATGTGTTATTTCTCCCTGGGGGTATTGGGCATGTTGTTCCATATACTCCATCTACAAATGAGTTTCTCCTGTTCTGTACTCCGTTCCTACATGTATATTTCGAGATGATAAGACGTTAACTTAAATTTTTAGATGAGATAACTCACAAAATAGACTACAATATACGAACATGCAGACGTTTTAGGTAGGAGAAATACTATTTTCATATTATTATATCGTTATTTTAAGTAGAATAAAGAAAACAAATATCAAGAGACAATAACCTGATTTACCTAATAGTTAATACTATACGTTAATTAATATAAATATTATAATAAAATACTCATATTAATTATTATTTGTTAAAAGATAGTATGTAAAATGTAAAGTTGAATATGAACGAGTAAAAGTGAAGTCGCTTTCGACTATTTAAATAATTCAATGGACACAGAATTTGCAGCTACTTTTCACATGGATTTCACATGACCCACCGACTAGTTATATTCAATTTAATATTTTCAACATTTAATCATTTGTTCAACAGGCCCAATAAAACCATGTGATTTTGATATATTATGAGAAATAATGTTATTTTTTCCCATCCATTTCATATTCAAAAAATTTACTGAATTTAACTATTTAAACTATACAGTATAAACAAACTAAGTGGTATAATGCTCTTTATCAACTACTTTTTTGACTAGGAATTTAGAGTTTAGACATTGTGTGAGGCGTGAAATATTGATCTCTTTTAGGGCCTTAGATAATATTATGAGCTAATTTTTAAAATTGTGTTACGTCTTCAATTACCAAATCTGAACATATAGGATTCTTATCAAAGTGAGAACTTTTGATCAAGAGTGACTCAATCTCAACCGTCATATCCCGATACGGGATCAGATTATTGTTGCTTATACATAACATAATACTTCGTTGTCTAGAATGTCTAATTGGAAGACAAGTTGCTAATAATTATACAGCTGGATAACTAACTTATTAAGCTGCTGCCCAAAAATAGCTAAAATTTGATTCGTAGCGTGTGAATTTACAAAAAGCCACGAAGATTCCGACGAGACTTGCAAAATGTTGATGTCAGTAGAAGCCAGCAATAGTCAAGTGGAACTTGTCAACTTGTCGTCCAAATCTTAACTAAGCCACAAAATAAATAATTCCAATACTAGTTTCTGTGCACTTTGCTCTTGTTCCGATTGGTGTTACTCGAGCTTGAGGATTTTTCGAAAATTGCTTTCTATCTAAATCATTTTATTCTTATTTATTAAATTACACGGGATTTATTGTTGTAAGTTTACGGTCACCGAATCATTCAATTTTTAGATCAAATCTACGAATATATTGTTAACATGTATGGCACACTTCATCTATTTTAAACTTATTCACTAGTACTACTATAGTTTTTTATTTGAAATGACGCAAGAATCACTAATATGAGAAGGAATCAAAAAAAGAAAAAGAAAAAAGGACCACTGTATATCAAACTATACTCTGCTTTTGCTCTTTGAACAAAAATGCCAAAATCCACGTTAATTTTTAAGGACGTTTTTAGACCAAATTAGTAACTGATGACATTTTTATTCAATTTCATATGACATTTTTGACTCTCTAAAAAATGTAGATCTATACAAACATCATTACCACAAACTAGAAGTAGGTACACAGTACACACTAACATTTTACATTCACTGATCTTGAAATCTTCAATCCACCTCTTGTACTAAAAGGGCGATAAACAAAGACGAAATCATGATCTAGAACCAGTTTGTTTTAAAATATTTTTATCTTATTAACTGCATACATTTTAAATTTTTTCACTATAATTTGTTCAGAGCAC